CCCACTGCCTTCAGATCCTTCCGGCTCTCACGGCTTATTAGCCAGCGCAGCTCGGAGAGGAACCGGGGCCAAACACCAGTGCAGAGTTTGGGTGGGCCGGGCAGGGCAGGATCCCTGCCAGGAGATGCAGGCAGGGATTTCCTTCTTGCCTGCCCCCGGACAGCTGCCCACGGGGTGGGCTGTGGGTGAGGATAACGGCCCACTCATCCCTCTGCCCTGCCAGGGCACACCGAGGAGCCATCCCTTGTGTGGTGTGGGGTCGTGGCCACGCTGTGGTGGGGAGAGGCGTGGGAGGGCTGGCTGCAAAGCAAAGCTCTGTGAGCTCTCCCATCCGCACCCTCGATGAAGTGGGCTGGGAGAGGAGCAACTCCAGGGGTGCAGTTAGCGTGGGGCAAAGGCCAGACAGGGCTGGAAGGTGCTGGGAGCACCAGCTCAGAGTGTACTCTGACCCAGCATCCGTGCCTGGAGTGGAGCACGGTTAAATCATCTGGCTGTGTTTCCACTGGGAGGGGACGAGCTTTTCATTCCTCCTTGGCCCATAGGATTCTGGTACAACCCCCCTCTGTGCCGGTAGATAGGCTGGGTGTATTTGGGGTGGGAGAAGGCTTGTTAGTGGAGGCACAAGGCCAAGAGAGGATGGGTATGGCCTTTTCTTGAGGCCATAGCTCTGCAATACCTTGCAGAGATTTCGATGGATTTAAAGAAGGTCCTGAAAAATAATCTGGGCTGTGGAAAGGGACAGCCAGTGCTGGGGAGGTGAGCAGCATTTAAGTGAAGGGTTACTCCAACCATGGGCCAGTTCCCTGGCGAATGAAAAAGCTGGAGTAGGCTGGCTTTTGCCCTTCTCCCTAAGCTTTCCTGGAGCCTGAACTCCTGACTCAACTGCTGCCCAACTTGCCAGAGTGCACCTTGCTCTGTCACAGGGCTGCGAGGAGACAAGTGGGCAACTATGCAGCTCCTCAGCTGCCACGGCATCTTCTGGGAGGCTCTGCGGAGATGAAAAGCCTTTCCCT